GGTCTCTCTCTCTCTCGCTCTCTCTCTCTCTCTCTCGAGTCGATGGCAAGTGAGCTGCCGATGGCTACCAACCAGACCCTACTCTCCCATTGCGCTCCTCTTATGACAGGTATTCAGTGCCACAAATGTGAGGAAAAATAATATATTTTGAGTGCAAAACACGAGTTACTAATAATGAGATTCATTGAATGTGCTGTTTTGTGTCACATTTCTAAAAAATTACTATTTTTCTTAACTTATTATAAATAATAGCGATTATGACAGCGTTTGCAGCGTTCAGATCACGTCTGTATGCGTTTGTTGTCGTCTTTAATTGACAAAACATTTATAGCTTTTTTGTTACAAACTTTTTATCACCTCTAAGATCGTCAAAAGAATTTTGTTTCTGTTTGAGAGAGAGAGAGAGAGANAGAGAGCGAGAGAGAGAGAGAGAGAGACCTTCCGATGCCTTCGTATCGATTATAATTGGAGTGTCAGACAAATGATAAATAAATGGCTGGCCTTTGCGTGTGAGAGAGAGAGAGAGAGAGAGAGAGAGAGAATTGATGCAAAAACTATTTTGACGACAACTAATCTAAACTCAATATCTCAATACCTACCGCTAATTTGAAACCAATTTAATCTGAAAGTCACGTACCGGTGCCGTGAATTCTTTACATTCACTTTCAATTGGATGTGAAGTATTTAGTCAACCATTGGTACCACACTTTCTAACTAAGTTAACGTAGCTAGCAATTTAAGCGTAGTTCTTATAATAGTAAGCTAAACCTTGTTTGCATTTATTTGTCACACAATTCACTATAAATTTGTTGCAATAAATCTAAAAAATTGAGATTATTTTTACTTCTATGTAGAGATATATTTAAAATTCTTGAATTACTTTAATACTAATTATCAAATATTTTATTGACAAAAAAGTTTATTGCATTAGAGATTGTGTAATAAAAAATTACTTTATATTAAATTTATCAGTTAATCACAGAAGTGAAAGCATTTTCAATAAACCAATTAATATATAAAATTTATTATCACAACAGTCCATATGTTTGAAAATGTTTTATTTGTTTAGAAATTTTCCACAAAAATAATAATAATAATTCTGCAACATCATTTAGCAATAATTAATATTATTATAGTGGAAAATTTAAATTAATATAACTTTAAATATGAACACAAAATAGAAATTTTGTTACAAATGAGTGAAATGTTTAAAAATATTTTTACATCATACCTACGCTTAAGAAGTTATAAATTTAAAAATGATTTAATTGATAAATCTTTGCTCAACTTTAAGTCCTGAGCACTAAATTTGTATTACTTATTTCAAGTCATATCGAAAATTAATTCAATTTCTCATTACTTTAAAAACATATATTTTCTATATTTCTAATTATTTTATGACTTTTTAAAATCAAGTCGTGGTTTCCATTTAGGATTCTGTCGGAACCGATTGGGAAAATTTGTGATTTGAGTTAAAAACTTAATTGAATCCCATTTTAATTTGCAGAGAGAGAGAGAGATATTTGATAGGATTTAAAAACGGTTAATTGACTTTTATTATGCTAGTATAACTAATTTATATTTTAAATTTTGAAAGTAACCTGTATTTTGATGGTAACAATATTAAAACTATTTCAGAGACATAGACTTTAATTACAAACTTATAATTTTGTTCATAAAAGTCAAACATTTTCTTCTTCTTTTGATGACAACAAAGAACAGGAAATGATAGGAATGAGAGAGAAATGCGAGAGA